CGTGCTTTCTGTGTGAAACCATGGAATGGTCCAGTTTATTTTCCCAATGTAAGCTCATTTACGTCCAGTTTTAATTCCAGTCCTTGTAGAGGTCTTCTAGTAGTTGCTGAGAGTGTACGGATTCCTCCCATGTCACCCCAGAATGATAAGTGCCACTCTTCATTGTTGACACCAGTAGAGGCAACGTGTTTGTATTGGAAGAAAGTGATGGTGGACGGGCCTTTGGCTTGGGTGGTACTTACAGGGTGTGTGCTTGTAATGCAACGCCCGTGTGTGTGTGTGTGTGTGTGTGTGTGTGTGTGTGTGTGTGTGTCAGGTGCAACACCCTGCTGTCTGCCCACTCTGTTACTCCCCAGCCACACTCCCTTCAGGACGCCTCACCTCTGGCGTATCAGAGTTTCCAGCTTCTCTGCAGTCTGTATGGTTCCCACGGGTGACCTGAGGCACAGCGTGGTTCCACCACCTGATGAAATGCCTCTGAATCATGGTGCTTTGCTCTTTCCACTAGTTGAGCTGGCTCACAGTGGCCTGAAACATTTGCCTTGAGTCACAACTGTCTTACGAATGAGTGGGCCCAGGCCGGTCGTGTTCAGGGCCAGCTCAGAATGTAACTTCCCTGCCAAAGAAGTTAGAAAATGCCAGTTTTTATCTAACTACCAGAACTAAATTGGGGGTACATCTTAGATAAAAACAAGCTCTTGTTAGCCCCGAATTCCCCTTGTCTATAGGAAGGATCTTCCTTCCTATAGATGGATCTTCATTATAATGGACTAATAGAGCTTACAGATTCCCCTAGATGAGTGCCCTCTTTATGACAGATCAGACATAATTTCTTTAAATCTTCTCTCCATAATCCCACAGCACTTTAGTTAAATAACTAGGGTATAGAAAACCTTATACACTGTGCTGTCATGATTCATACTGCAAGCCTTAATCCCCGTTAGGGCCCTCTCTATCCCTAAGAGGTGGGGGCAAGAGCTGTTTCATTTTGGCAGTCCCCACACCTACTACTAGCTAGCAGTGACATCCAATAAGAATTAGTCCGATGGCCAGACACAACCCAGATGTGTGTTTATGGCTGCTCGTGTTGTGCTGAAATGGCACCTATTACTAGAGCTCTACCCTCCAGAGCAGTGGCCCTAGTGGCACACAGTCACCTGGAGGGCTTGTTAAAACAGGGTTTTGCTGGACCCCACCCCGGGAGTTCTACCTTCCCAAGGTCTGGGCAGGGCTTGAAATTTACACGTCTTACCAGCTCTCAGCTGATGCTGATGCCACTCTGAGACCACACCTTGAGAACCACTGCCCTCAATCACCTTTTTTTTTCTTTTTTCTTTTTTTTCTTTTTTTTGGAAACAGCTCAACATTAGCTCATAATTTTCTAAGGTTGTTTTGGAATCTTTGAAGAAATCTGTGGTCCTGGCCTTGCTGGAGGCCATAGGGATCATCTCGGTCATCCCCAATGGATAAAGCATTGATGTAGTCAACAGGCATTTGTTAACTCTGAGGCCCCGTTACTGATGAGAGAAAGGACTGTCTCTACCCTCAAGAGACTTAAATTCTGAGGCAAGGAGAGGGAAGCCGTGGTGGAGGTGTCGTCCCAGGAGGTCTCTGAAATATGCAGGAAGCAAGTCAGAGCAGTAGCACCACAGCTCAGAGTGTGTGTGTCCGTCAAGGGTACATCCGTGAGCACCCACAGCACTTCATACATGTGAGCGTAGCTCAAAGACAGACCCTACAAATGAGGCAAATGGGGGGATGCCAACAGTGATTTCAGCTACCTTTCCTAATAGGACAATTAGCAGTGCCTCCTGGTTCAAGACGCATGTGATGGTAACGGAAAGGTCGGGCGATTTGATTTAGCAAAGACAACCAGGCAAGTGCTGTTTTCACCGAGTTAAGAGCTAAGAGTACATGCTTCGGAATCTGGCTGTTTGGGGCCGGTCCCAGTGCAGCTGTTTTTTTACTGTGTAACTAGGGGAGTAACCTCCGTGTCCCGTCTCTAAAATGGAGGCGGTAATCTAATAGTGCTGAATAAAAGAGTAATAAAATTGTGGTCAGGATTAAAAGAGCTTAGCTCTGTGCTTGGCACAATGAAGCCATAAATGTCAACTATTGTTAATAAAAACTAATTGAATATCTGTGCGCCTGGCTATGGTTTACTTTGCCTACCGTATACAAATGCAGAATACGTAAAAATGACATGTGAATAAAGATTACAAAATGCCATGTTCACCTTTCAAGGTTTGTTGTGTTGTATCGGGTTCACCTGCCAGACTTCTACTCATTCTTTAAGACTTTTTTGTTATATGAAGCACGTTATTTCCTCTCTACCGTAAAGTAGGCGCTCTCTCCTCTCTTCCCTGACCCGACCCCTGATGCTTTGTTGTAACATTTATAACACTGAAGAAATCAGTTTCTCCACCATGGACTGAGCAGAGCCTGGGCTGAATCCGCTTTGTGGATCCTAGTACAGGATGAAGTAAGAGATCGTGTTGTTGAACACATGCATGAATGCAACCTGTAGGGATGGGCAGAAGAGTAGCATTTTTTGCATTAATGTTACATGTTACTTCTTTAGAAACCTACTCACCTGGTGGACACAGTTGGTGTTAACCACAGTGGTACAGAGCTCCTTCCATGTGCCAGATGCTACTCCAACAGCTGACAAATACTGACTCATTAAACCTTCACAGTAACTGTCTGAGGGAGGTGCTTTGATGACTCCTGTGATATCGGTGGGGAAACCAAGGCACATTAATTAACTCGCCCAAAGTCATATGGCTAATAAGTGGTACCGTCTGCGTTTGAACCTGGTTCCTCTGGTTCCTCTGCTTCCGGGACCCTTTCTCTTAATTCTCTGCCTCTCTCTCTCTCTCTCTCTCTCATGTGATGGCACGGAGTAATTAGAAATCGTGTAACTAAATTAAGCCTACGTTTACCAAAAACAGTGCATGCATGGTGGGTTTAAAAAAAAAAAAAGTTTGAGGTATAATCCTTTCCATGTCGATCTTGATTTATAACCTTTCCCATGATGGCTATTACAATTCTAAATGGATCCTTTGAATCTTTGATAACAAAGTCCTACCCAATGGAAACTAGACCGTTATGAAAGTATGTAATATTAATGCACTTATCGAGTACTGTTTCTTTGACTATTAACATTTCCTTTTAAAAATTTTAAATATTTGATCATTTCTTTGCTGGGAGAAGAGGTCGGCTTCCCGAGGAGGGCTGCATTTGGTAAGGTGCCACGGGTGTGTGTCAGGCTAAGGAGATAGGATGACATCTTTTTTAGAGTCTAGTCACAATTAAATGCCATTTTATTTTGGATTTTGGGACCCGGGCCAGCTTCCAGCTTGTCAGAGCTGAGAAGACTCAAATCAAGTCCAGGCCTATTTCTACAGCAAACTGGGATTCTGGCTTCTTGCCTGTGGATCCATTCAGTATATCCCATCTGGCTTTTGATGTTCTGCGAGTTCGGAGCAGTTTGTTTTAGGAAGCCAGGCAGCCTGGGCCTCTCCTGCCTCCAGAAGGAGGTTCCTCAATTTCCCCAGGACCTGACCTCGACGTCTGCTCACCTGCGGACCCCGCAGCCGGCTACAGGTCTCAGCCAGGCCAGAGTTCAGGGCCCAGGGCGTCCTCCTCGTTTGTCCGTGTCCCGTGTCCTTCGATTTAACTCAGTCACGCGGCCTGCTTGAATAGCTTAAGAGTATTGAATTCCTGTGCACTTTTGTGTTTTGGTGAAGCCGCATCCGAGCTGCTTGTGGCGACAGAGCAGGAAATGTATTGCGCACAGTTAGAGCAGAGCGCCGTGGACCTTTTCATAAAATACCGTTCGGGGGGATCTGCGTGCAAGTCTCCAGCCGGTCAGGTTTGACTCCTGTGTGATGTCAGCAGGACCCACCTGCCCGCCGTGGGACCTGCTTTCCTCCTTCCCTCCCCCCTCCCCCACTCTGGGCTGTGTCCTGCCCAGTGCCCCCAGCACACCTGTCCCTGACCCTCCTCCGGAGCCCGGGAAGAAGGAAGGGCACAGGAGGCAGGCATTTAGGTGGTTGGTTGTAAAGCGATGGCACACGGCCTTGTAAGCTGTGTTGGCAGGCTTCTATCAGGAGAGAAGCGAGTTTTGTCTCTTCTTAAACCTTACTTATCCAAGTGTTCATTCTGAGCAGCCCACTCTGTGCAAGGCCGTGGGGTGGAGGGCTGGGCATCCCTCAGTAAACACAACAGGCTCAGTCTCGGGGTCACACCCCAGCCTGAAGAGCAGGAATTGGACCCTCTTGGTGTGCCTCTTTCTTTTAGTGCCGTTTCCCCACCAAACGGGAGAGGTTTTTCATTCACCCATGAAACATGGGTGAATTGCTTTTCTAAATAGGCAAGATTCTTTGGAATTAAAAAAAAAACCGTGATGATGGGGAAGAAAGAGATGGAAGGAAGAGACGCCCACACTCTAGACTGTGATGTTGCTGTGCGTGGAGATCTTAATCCCATTCCTTCCAGTTTTTAAAATGCCAAACCACTCCCTTCTGTGATTTACATGTGCCTTTCATGTCTGCGATGTTCCCACTCAAGTAGATGAGCAAGGGGATGCACACACTTCTCTCTAAAACAACAGAGAACCATCTGGAAATGCCCCTTGAATTTCCTTCTGTATGGATGTGAAAGCCACTTTTCTTTCTGGTGCCTCACCTATAAATAGCAGGAGTCCCACCTTCCTTTATAGACTCTTGCTAATAGCACGTTTGGAACAAGACCTTACAGGTGCAAACAGATCCCAGTTGGGAAAGACGCTCGCAGCGTCTCTTGCCTCTGAGGGTTCTGAAATACCTGTTTCGCCAATGGGACCAGTGGATGAGCCAGCAGGACAGAGTTGGCCTGGGTGACTCACTTCCCTCTTGCTTTCCCACTGCGCCTCCCAGCCACCCCAGTTTTGCCTTCTCGAGCTACAGACTTCATGGGGTGGCTTTTCTTAAAGTTTTGAGACAAGGGGGGAGCTTAGATCTGTTCCATAAATAAAAACCTCTATTGTTTTGTTGCTGTTGTTGCAAGTGGCCGATCTTTGTTTTTAATTCCGTTGCAGAGATCAGCTCCTCTCTGTGAACCTGGGAAAGGAAAACAGTGACATGCTCAGCGTCTGACTTACAGAGACAAAGCTATCTTTTTCTCTTTTTTTATTGAGTTTTTCATTTTAATTCCAGTATAGTTAACATGGTGTTACGTTAGTGTCAGGTGTATAACAGAGTGATTCAACAGTTGTCTGTAGTACTCGCTGCTCATCGTAAGTGTGCGAAGATATCTTTTTCAACCCCAGCTTGCTGTAGACTGCCCTCTGACTTGGAAGTTTTTATTACAGTGGGACAGATAAAACTTAAATAAATAACTTGCGCTATTTTCCTGAATGGAAACCTAAACCATGAGAATATTTGAACATTCTAAAATAAAATTCACCTTAGCCACCAATGTTTGAGCACTATGTCACAAATAAAAAACAAGATTAACATCAAAAGGAGTCCGTTTTCATTCAATTGTGCAGCATTGCAGCCTGTGAAACTTAATATTATTTTGACTCGTACAGTAATTGTAGGACGACAGGGAAGTGGATTAAGTTGAAATAAAAGCACTCAGCAGCACCAGTTGAGGTCATTGGCCAGAGTGAGGCCTCTGGCTTTGCATATTAGGATTTTAGAAAGAAAACTCCTCCTTTAGACTCTAGTTGAATGCTTTTTCTCCAGCGTGTACAGAGACAAAGAGGCACACTCCTCACCTTGAAAAGTTGGTAAACTGGTTTGCTCATCCACCGGCTCACAGCGCGTTGCGATTTCTCTGCTTCTCATCTTTCTTTTTCTGGAAAAGATTTTGCTTGTCATTGGTGTGAAGCTTGAAAGGCACCCCTCCCCTCACCCCCCACCCCCAACTCAGCTCTTAGATTTATAACACTTTAATGGTCCCAGATTGTACAGCCTGCTTTTATTCCCCCTTTCTTTTCCTTGAATAAATCAGGTTCATGTTGCAGATGATATTTGTGTGAGAAAAGTGTGAAAGAAGGGGCACCTGTGAAAACAAGCCATTGTCCCAGCACCCATACACTTTCGAATTAAAGCAGAAAATGTCAATTAAGACCTCCAATGACTGCCTTATTTCTTGGAGGTTTAGAGCCACTGATATGATCGTGGTGCACTCGCCCTTTAACCTGCTACTCCGAGCCGTGGTATCTGGTGACCTAATTCTGGATAAAGCTGACACCCCACAGCTACACCCCACTCTCTCTGGTTTCGGAGAAAGTTTGTGCAGAATCTTGTTCTGATGTGAAAGTGCTAAAGGGGGCAGTAAAGGGCTATCCACAAAAAGGAAACTTTTTCCAAGTATCTGTCCAGGTCCATGTTGCCTCTGTCTGCCACGGGCCCTGCTTTTATTTATTCCCTTTGTAAGAAACACTTGTGTGCGGGGCACTCAGAGAGCTGGTCTTATTAAACCGTGGCAGCAATCTAGCATTAAACAAAGTGATACAAGAGGAGTATATTCTGCTCGCTGATGAAATCCACATACGAACTGAAGTCCTGCTTCTGCAGGATTTCTATTCTCTGGTGCACAGAGTGTTTCTGAACGGGATCTTCTTGGGCTGCTGTGTCCATGCTCTAATAGCCCATGTGGACGTGGGAGGCCCCCAGGGCACAGTGACGTTCCGGGTCACGCGTGGGTCTGGGCTAACCCAGAGCCGTTTGTCAGGGGTGACCAGAAAGCCCCACCAGGGGCCAGCCAAGCTACAGAGGGCTCCTTCTCATTCAGATTTCAAAAGGGACTAATTTACAAACAGACCCGCTCCTTTTCTCTGCAGTCTTTGACGTTTAATTAAAAATAGGAGCATCTTCTGGGAAAAGGGCACGTTTTCCAAAATGTAGTAAATGCAAAGCGTACTTAATCAAGAACTCCGGCGTGCAAATAAACCCATTCCGCGATCCGATGTGATTTTTGGTGCCAGCTCCTGGGCCAAACCTGCTTCTGAAGCTGGAACTCAGATTCCCTCAAATGTTAGCCAACTGACAGAGTTCTGCAGTGCAGTGATTCAGCATAAACCATACCCATCCCGTATTTTTCATTCATGTGAATACACTTTTTGTGCACTAATTACTAAGCTTTTGTGGACTCAGGAACTGACTTCTTAAATAGACCACACTTCCCCCCATAATAACTTTATTTAGTTACTTTCTAAGGAAGTGCACCAAAAAGGTTAAAACGTCTGCAGGCTTTAAATATTTTAAGTGCTTATTTTTAAAACCAGCATTTGGAAAGACTGATCGGGAACAGGCTACAGTTTGTTCTCTGTACGCTGAATGTAATGTCCCAGGTCTGATCACAAAAGCACTTAATGTTTACTGCAGAAAATTGTGAAAAATGCAGAAAGCTGAAAATCACCCTAAATCTACCACCTGGTAGCTCAAAGCAGTCTCAGGTAAAGGCCCTCAGTTGGATCATCGGTGTATGTTTTCTGTGTCGTCAGCAGAATGGTGTAAGGCACGTTGTGTAAGCGTGCATGTTTGCAGCTGAAATTGGCCGCGACCATATACTCTGATGTAACTTTGAAACGAAAGGAAAGATCAGTCCTCCGTGAAAAAAAGTAACCTCTGTTCATTTATGAATCTTATTTCGCTCAGTCGCGTGCTCCTGAGGTAGCAAGCACATCATGGGTGGGTCCCCAGTCTCCCCAGTTTGCCCATTGGCAGGATTTGACAGGGTTCCTGTTCTCAGGTGGATGATACCTGCCCTACTTATGCAGAAAGATCAGATGTTTAAATAGATTCTTAGGTACATAGTAGCAAATACAAACGGCTCTTGACCGGGGCTGAGACTTTTTTACATTAGAAGCACTGTCATCGTGTCTGGCTGGAGGGGGTTTGTCCGACCCAGTTATTTGGACACAGAAACTGGTCAGTCCTGTCTACATCTTATTCTGATCTCTGTTATTCCGTGTCAGCGTGGTACTTTTGCATTCGGCTCCCATGTACTGAGTTGCCCTTGTTTATATAGCAGTTTGGCATAGTCTTCAGTCGACCTTCCCAGGATTGCTTCCCCCAGGAGAACCAGGCCTTCTGATTTTCATGTAGATTCTCACAGACTGTAGCAGCATCAAGGGGCCATCCCACAATTTGGCCATTCTTCTAGGTTAATTTTGGGTGGGCAACTCCAAAGAAAAGTGTAGGAAGTCATTGAATGTTTGTCCTGAGGTGTGGGTGTCATGGTCAGGGACAAATACGGGACCAGATAGGGGAGGAAATGGGGCATTTGTCGTGGGGTTAGGGGTGCAGTTGTGGTTCCCCGACACAGCTATCCCTAAGTATCTCCGCTCCTGACTTCCCATGGGTCCTCGCATTCCATCTGGCCAGGGTTTGAAGTTGATGGGGCGCCCCCTGCCTCCATCCGATTATTTCCCAGGCACCTCTGAGTCCTGGTAACATAACAGGAGTCAACAGAGGAATCCAGACTTGAGGTCACACGTGTGATGTTCTGGTCTGTCAGAGAAAATTGCATGTTGTGACCCTTGAACTCTGAAATAGCTGGTTTATACTTCAAATGTATTATGCTTGGGGTTTTTGTTGTTTTGGTTTTTTAAGCATGGATACCTAGCGTGGATTAATACATTTTTTTTCTTACATTTTATTTATTTTTGAGAGAGAGAGAGAGGGAGGCACAGAATTTGAAGCAGGCTCCAGGCTCTGAGCTGTTAGCACAGAGCCTGACATGGGGCTTGAACTCACAAACCGTGAGATCATGACCTGAACTGAAGTCAGATGCTTAACTGACTGAGCCACCCAGGTGCCCCCAGTGTGGATTATTAATACATTAAGGAATATCATGTCACATGAGAGCTGTATTATAAATAGTTTCTACAATAATGAATATGAACTTGAAATGTCTAATTTAGATTATTAGAGATCTAATTTAGATTACTAAATATTAATGTCTAATTTCAGTTATTAGATTGATTCAAAGTATTCCCTATGGGAAATACTAGAGTCTGGTTTGCTGAATAACTTTAAAAAAAAAAAAAAACTTGGATTACATTTGATAGGTAATCAGAAGATAAAAAACATTCTGCTATCAGACCTTTTCATTTCATGCAGCTTAACTTTGGAAACCCTATGTAGGGTTTCTGTTTTATTCCGTTATTGTCTCTATATTTGATTCAAAGCCATCACATCTATTGTCTTGCTTGGAAATGACTCACTGGGGAAAACCATGGAAGCTGCCTGTTTATGCCCAGCCTTCCCCTCTTAGAGCCTTCTGGGGAACCCTCCACTGACACGCCCAGCCCGCGCCACTCCAGGAAGCAGCCCTGAGCCCCAGGTCTCCTGATGGACAGGAGATGTGACTTCTCCTTCCCAACAAGAAGAGTAGCTGGCTCAGAGAGGGAGCCGTCTCTGTCCTATCTAGGACACGAAGCCCTGTAGGTCTTTGTTTTCTGTTTGGGATTAGAAATCGGCAGACTTTATTAAGTGACACCTATACCTACTTTTGTTTGCGTATAGTTTAATAAAAACCGCCTCCCCTGCGTGGCATGGCTTGTACCTCTGGGGCTTTTCCTCTGTGCTCCTTTTGGTTAGAAGGTAAAGGTTATTTCATCACACAAAAAGAAATCTGTATCTGATCCCCACCGTGGAGAGCCAGGTTAGTGATTTGAAATTAGCCCATTGCCACCCCCATCATTCTGTGGGTTTTTTTGAACACTTCCTAAGTCAAAATAGGAGAAATGTATTACTAAATATTATGAAATATTCAGGGCATTGTTTATGCTGTGTAGTCTGACTTATTGTTAAGGTCTCTCAATCTCGAGGTAGTAAAATCCAAATATAAATGACCCAGCTTCAAAAGCAGAACTCTACGGTTACCGACTTGATGTTAACACATGGGACGCATTGTTTTCCACTCAAAAGTGGTATTAAGAAATTCACCCCATTTTGTTTTCATTTACATTTTGGATTCTCATGAATTGTCAGGAGACCGTCCGTGGCATTCTAATCAAAACACAAATTTCATAGAGTTGGTCAGTTTCTTCCCCACCTGTTTGCTTACAGCCTCCTGGGCCAGGTAGGGTTACCAGATGGCCGCCTTTGTGAGCCGTGGTCTCAGCTGACCACATCTGGAACAGGCTTCAGGCACATGCCTGGCATGGAGTTAGGCCCCACGTGGCACTTGGAAGCCTGTGTGTCCCGTTGACTCTCTCTTCATTTTGCTTAGCCTCGTGGCTTATCTATGCAAACCTCAATTTAGAAAAACTTGCGGCTCGCAAAACCAGATTTATGCTGTAATGTGATGCAGCGAGAACTGAAAAGTGTGCAAAGGAAGGGGGCTTTTCCTGTCGTGTCGCGTGTTTGGCACAGCGAGTCTTCATCTGTTTGGCATGTCATGTACGTGTGCAGTGACTAAATGAAGATAATGTGATGTAAAGGGCTTTGATCGGTGCGTAGCCGAGAATAAGTTCTCCAAAGCAGCGGTGTTTTTGTTGTTAGTGACTCTGGAGGGGCTAAGTGCCCTGCATTTTAGATGGGAAGGGATTGTACAAGACTGCCATGCTGACAGATCCTTCCAGAAAGAATGGATCGCAAGCTCAGTCTGCACTACTCCGTGCTCTCCGGAAAGACCGCCAGGCCTGGAATGAGGTCTTGGAAATCCCATCCCTGCTCTCATCTCAGTCCATCCCTGTCCCAACACCCGGGGGTCCTGTCTACAGAATTCTTCCATGCCTGTGATCCACAAATAGACAATGGCACGTAATTGGACTTGAACTTCTTTGTGCATTTTCTTAGCTTCCACTGGTTCTTACGTATTTTGTTGATGAATACGTAATTTATTGAGCATTTGCCATATGTGGCCCTCGGGCATTCAGTATTCAGACACACGGGACCTGCCTGCCCTCAGGGAGCTAGCTAGACTGTGCCCTGCTGGTGAGGAGAGCCTTACACTTTTGTCGCTCGGCGCATCTGGCACAAAATAGGTTGCTTTAGTTGTTACACTCACTTGACTCTCTTTTTGCTCTCGTGTTGCCTTAGAAACTGAGGGTTCCTGGGAAGCAAAGGAGCTTCTGAGGTTTGACGGTGCACAGTGCGTAATGTAGGCAAGAAATGTATGATTCAGGCTCTCAGTTTCTGCTGAGAAACCATAGTCTCATCAGTATGTATGCGTGTATTTATATACATTATATATTTTTTATGTTACATACACTATATTATATATAAATCATGTTCTATAAACCAGTTTATGTGCAAATATATATTATGTGTGTGTGTGTGTGTATATATATATATATATATATATATATATAATAAGTATACCTTTAAAACACTGAAGTGCTGGGCCTTTCTTTAAAGGATTTTTTTTTTTTTTTTCTTTAAGGGATTTTTTTTTTTTTTTTTTCGTTTAAGGGATTCTTGAAAGGGAAAAGGATCAAATCGTCGCTTACTTTTTGCCACAATGTGTTCTGAAAAGCAAACAGACACTTTGCAAAGTGTTTGCAATAGGGTGCTTCATCAGGATTTAGTTTTTATGAGCATATCAGATAGGCTTATTGAAATTCGAGATTTCTGCCCTTCTCTTTCATTTTGCCAGGCCATCCCATGGCTTAACCCTCCCCGTACGTCACTCCCTCATCACTGACAGTTTCCAGTTTCTAGGTGATTTGTGCCTTCTGAGAATACAGTCTAAAACATGCTGGTCCTCACAGCCAGACCGGCCCGTGTGTCATAGGTTCGTGGCCTCAGCCCGTCAGCCACAGCCCAAGCTGGAACTCGCATTTGGGGAGTGTGAAGAGACCATCATAAGCAGTTACTTACATGGCGGGGAGGAAATCTGCAGTGATTCTTTAGTGAAGCCAGGAAAAAAAAAAAAAAAAAGCCCTCCCATGAAGGATACACAATCTAGGGAACATTTTTTTTTTTTAATTTTTTTTTTCAACGTTTATTTATTTTTGGGACAGAGAGAGACAGAGCATGAACGGGGGAGGGGCAGAGAGAGAGGGAGACACAGAATCGGAG